ATAACCCTATAAAAAATGGGTTATAGAGCTTAACAAAGAATTTTCAACTGAGGACACTCGAATGGCCGAGAAGCACCTAAAGAAATTTTCAGTATCCTTAGTTGTCAGGGAAATGCAAATTAAAACAATCCTGAGATTCCATCTCAAACCAGTCAGAATGGCTAAGATTAAAAACTCATGCGATAGTAGATGCTGGGTAGGGTGTGGAGAAAAAGGAACACTCCTCTATTTTTGGTGGGACTGCAAGATGGTGCAACCACTTTGGAAATCAGTGTGGCGGTTCCACAGAAAATTGGACATAGCATTACCTGAGGATCCAGCTATACCACTCCTAGGCATATACCCAGAATATGCTCGAACATATAACAAGGACATATGCTCAACTATGTTCATAGCAGCCTTATTTATAATAGCCAGAAGCTGGAAAGAACCCAGATGTCCTTCAACTGAGGAATGGATCCAAAAAATGTGGTATATTTACACAATGGAGTATTACTCAGCTATTAAAAACAATGAATTCAAGAGCTTCCTAGGTAAATGGATGGAACTAGAAATTATCATCCTGAGTGAAGTAAGCCAATCACAAAAGAACACACATGGTATTCACTCACTGATTATTGGATATTAGCCCAGAACTTTGAAATGCCCAACATGCAACTCACAGGCCACATGAAGCTTATGAAGAAGGAAGACCAAGTGGGGGTGATTTGGTCCTTCTTAGAAGGAGCAACAAAATACTCAAGGGAGCAAATATGGAGACAAAGTGAGGAACAGAAACTGAAGGAGGGGCCGTCTGAAGACCATTCCACTTGAGTATCCATCCCATGTGCAGTCACCAAAGGTAGATGCTGTTGTGGAAGTCAGGAAGTGCATGCTGATTAGATCCTGATATGGATGTCTCCTCAGAGGTCTTTAAGAGTCTGACATATTCAGAGGCATTTGCTCACAACTAGCCATTGAACTGATAATGTGGTTCCCAATAGAGGAGTTAGAGTGAAGGCCATTGGAGCTGAAAGGGTTTGTGGCCCCATGAGGAGAGCAACAATACCAACCAACCACAGCTCCCAGGGTCTAAACCACCAGCCTGGGAGCACTTGGGGGGGGGGATCCAGGGCTTCAGCTGAATATGTAAGAGTGGAGGGTCCTGCTGGGCATAGGTGGAAGAAGAGATCCTTGACCTCAGGAAGGCTGGACGCCCCAGGGGCAGGGAATTTGAGGGTGGGGAAGTGGGAATGTGGGGGTAGGTAGTTGTTACATCCACAGAGAAGATGGAGGAGGGGTGAGGGGGTAGGGGGTTCCTGGGTGGGTGGGGGATGGGGTAAGGGGACAACATATGAAATGTAAATAAAACATCCAATAAAAAAATGAAAAAAAAAGGACTTTCTTAGAAAATTTTCAAGTTTCTGAAAAATTTGAAGTAAAAAATCAACTCCTAAACTACCATACTGGATACTGTGTGAACACTGATTTCTGTTAGGAATTACAGCTTATACCCTGGAAATTTAATCGTTTATATTAGTTACATTTCTTGACATGGTATGAAAATAAATCTCAAAAGAAGATTATGGAAAGAAGGATTTATTTTAGTTCACAATTTGGAAGGGAAGTTCCATTATGTTGGGAAATGGTTGACATTCACAGTGGTGAATACACATGGTTGCATTATTTGATCTTGATTGGCTAGGATGCAAAGAGAGGAAAGATCAGTGCTCATCTGTTTCTCCTTTGTTTCTCCTTATAAATGCATAAGAGGCTAGTGACCACTTTTAGGGGGTGCCTTCCCTCTTCAGTTATACATCTATGGAAATTCCTTGAAATACATCAGGATGTGTACTCCTTAGGGGATTCCAAATCCAGTCAAAGTGAGAGTGAAGAACCACCATATCATGTTCGTGTTATCCTGCCTCAAGGAACATCTGTGTGGCCACCCTCTTTCTATGTTACTGAGTCTGAGACAGTGACAGACAAGAGCTCTCCTCTTCCAGTAGCAATGACTTACAAGGAGAATCTCTTCTTTTTCTGCTTCAGGATAGGAATGAATTCTCACAATGACTTTCAGACAGCATTTTGACATTACATCATTCTGGAAAGTGTCTTGAGATGAATTATGTATAGAGATAAAATATTGTATATATATTCAGATTTCTTAATGATAAATCTTTTATATTTCCACTGTTTCATTGTGTAATACTTAATTTATATTTTTATTTGTTTTTTTTTTTGAGACAGAGTCTCATTTTGTAGTCAGGTTGTCCAGGATTTCACTATGTAACCCAACTTATAGTCATCCACCTGACCTCGCCTCTTTAGTTCTGGTATTACCAGCATGAGCCTCGAGACCCGGCAATATATATATATATACATATTGAGTCCAAGTCTCTGTGTCTTTGTCTCTGTCTCTGTCTCTCCCTCTCCCCTCCCCCTCCTCCTCCTCCCTCTGTGTGTGTGTGCTAACATATGTGCATGTATACATTACTCATAGGGTGATGCATACCTATGTGTGTGCATTGACTGTACAGAAGTTCTAGAAATTGTCTTGTCTTCCTCTTCCCTAGATAAAGTATTATAGCTATGAAGTGTAGTGCCTAACTCTTTACATGAGTACAGAGGATCTGAGCTCATGTCGTTATGCATGTTCAATAAGCATCTTACCTGCTAAAGCGTTTTACCAGCCCCTAAGTAAAAGACTTTAACATAAAAAGCAACACTATCTGAATTTTTAAAAAGACTATTCCTGATTTAGCAATATTTACTAGTAATAATAAAAAGCACAAATATGATGGGACTGTATTCAATTAAGTTTTTAAAAAGATTTTTTTACTTATATTTTATGTGTATTAGTGTTTGTGTGCATATATGTCTGTATAGCACATGCATGCCTGGTAGCTCTGGAGGCAAGAATTCATCAGATACTCTGCAACTGGAGTTACCTTCATTGATTCACTGTGTAGGTGCTGGAACTGAACCTAGGTCCTCTGAAAGAGCAATAAGTGTTCTTAACTCTAATCTATCTCCCTGAGCCCTTTAAAATTTCACTCATTAAGTGACACTGTCAATATTCTGTTTTAAAACTTGGATGCATGCCGGTCAAAATATTTTTCCCACATACAGCTCTGATGTGCTCTGTGCATAGAAATTGTCTGATGCCATTGATCTTTCCACATTTCATCTTAGAAAATTACCACCACATAAATATATTTAATATATGTATTGTGTATTATCCTTTATAGTAATATATGAATTCTTTATTTTTATTTTCCAGTTTGTAAAGCACATATTAATGATATCATATTTGCTTCTTTTAAGATAATTTTTAAATCTCAGCTGAATTTTGAAAATACTTTGTTAGTAACTGATATTTCCTTTCTGTGTGCACAAATGTATTATTTATACTGGTATATGGTTTTGTTCCTAGCACTTATGAGGCAAAAGCTAATGGATCTCTGATAGTCTAAGGCCAGCTTGGTCTACATAGTGAATTCCAGGTCAGCCAGGAGTATATAGTAAGATCTTATATTAGAAAAACGAAATAAAAAGTCATATTTTTAACTCTGTTGCATTTGTCATATAGATTCTAATTTTAAGGTCCTCTAAGGAGTAATATGCACATAAAACTACTTCTCTAATAAAATAAAATATCTTCAAATCTTTAAAAGTCTTACCCTAAAATAAATGCATGAGGCCAAAAGAATGAATTAGCCCTTTGTAAACTTTAGCTCCTTTATACATTAATGAGACTATTTAGGAATTTTTTACATAATATGTATATACAAATAAAGTACAACATTGACTGAAATGAGATGGCCAGTGGGATCCAGGGCTCTTCATGCCTCTGCTTCCTCAATACTGAGATATAAAGTACTGCACAAAGCTGCTACATGAAAAAGACAGATCTGAATAGGTCCTCATGCTTGCTATGAGAGCATTTTAGTCATGCTAACTTCTGAGTCAACTCCGTAGCCCTGCAACCTATCTTTTTAGGAATTATTTTATTTCTAACATTTTATTATGTAGCCACCTAACATTTTATTATGATGCCATGGACCAACCAGATTCTCCTGAAAGGGGGGCTAGAAATGAAGAAAGGGACAGAGAGCGAGAGAAAAATGAAGCCAAGACAAAGTTCTCTGATTAAGGCTCGAAGTTTAATGTTCAGCTCTTAATTTAAAGGAAAAGCCCCACCGAACCCCCTTCTTGTTTCTGCCAGAGATGGGTGGGGGAAACCCATCCTTAGTCACTGCTGGAGAGGGGTAGGGGAGTGCATCCTAAGATGTCTCAAGGCAAGCTCAGTGGGTAACTCCTATTATTTGGTCTATTGTGGTAAACAAGGTGTTTCAGGCCTGCTCAAGGCTGCAGGGAGAGCACATTATTACATGTGTCTACCTTTTCCAATTACTACAATTAAGAATATTAATTTTCAAAACTTCTGATAGTAGATCTTCAACTAATACTTTCCTAAATTTGAAATAGAGATTATCCTGATAGCCCATTGCATCTAATGAACATAATCAACTTCAAGCAAGAGCAGTTTCTCCCTTAATGTATTTTTTCCCTTTAGATTATGCAAAGGTTGTTGCTAAAGTTATCATAACTATAAAAGAATAGAATATTCTATTATCTGGCAATTATTCAATATATCTGGCATCTATGAAAACAGTAAACACAAAATAAAACTTGTCTTAATTTGCATAATTGTTACTGCTTATAGCTCACCGCTGATCTTATAAAGTGAGTACCAGGGGAAGTTATGTTTGTGTAAGAGGACAGCTAGTTTGAGGTGATTCTTGGCTACATACTGGCATCCTACAAAATTAACAGATGAATTTTATGATAAGAAAAGAATAAGTGACTTAATAATTTCCAGTTACAATAACTTAAATTAAGAAAGGCTCAGAAAACTAGATTGTGTTCCTAGCAGGACTTCCTTCAGGTGAGAATATATGTATATGACATCATAGAAATTTGTGGTTTAATTCAGTATTGTATTTTCTCTGTTACAGACAAAACATGGATGCATACGCCTGAAGCTTTATCAAAACATTACATTCCCTATAATGCAAAGGTAAAATAGTTATTTGGATATTATCTAATTTGATATTGTTATATGCTATGTTGAAATAATTGTGCTAATTTAAAAATATCTTATGCATTGACATGTCCTGGTAAGAAGTATTTGAAACTAAATTGATATGACTGAAATGAATAATATAATGTAATATATATGAGTATTTTAGAATTTATATATATTTGCACAATGTAGAATATTAGGCAATTATTATATTATTAATTTTCTTATAAAGTTGATATGGAAGTTGATTGCCACTGCTTATCATGAAAAGTTAATGAATCAAAGAAAATTTTCATTACCGATCATACCAAATATTTACCATAAATGGCATGTGATTATATATATATATATATATATACAGAGAGAGAGAGCTATTATTGCTATTATTATTTTGAGCTAAACAGTCAGACATTGATATTCATTGTACAAATCTATCCTTTAAGCAGAACCAAGCACTATTTCACTTTGAATAAAATGGATCACATTGAAACACTTGTTTGTCCAGTGTTGGGAGGCTCTATTCTAGCTAGAAATATCTTTTACTTTAGTATTATAATGTTTATGTGACAAGGTAGATCTGTATGTAGACAGTGTTAAGTTCCTTGTGCTATACCAGATTCATAGCTAGAAAATGACTGACACTAAAGAAAAGCTACAGAACACTTTCCCACACAGAGGATACCAGCATTCTGTAAGGCTTCAAGAACAGTGCCTAACACACAAGCTGTTTAGTAAGTGAGAGACTCACTAGGTGTTATTACATGCATTCATAGAGTACTGCTTTTGTTCATCATGCAGCTTATTATGGAAAAACAGGTTTAATTTGATGTAATTTGTGATGATATATATCATATGTGCATCAAATAGCATTGCAGAGATCTGAAGAACATTCTCTTCCCTCCTTTGTACCACTTGGTTGTCTTGGACCAATTTTAAAGATGTTTTCTCTTCTTGTTCAACTCTATGCACTATGAAAAGTCAGCCTGTGTTTACAGGAGTTGGTTAAGTACAGCATGGAAGATCACAGACCATGGAACTAAACTGCCATGTGATATATCCTAAGTAACAATTTTAGCTGTACTGAACTTTCCTGTATCTGAACTGTGCATTCAAATGTAAAGAAGTCAATGATAGCAGTTTCTTCTTTGAGCTATTTGAGATATAACGAAGGTGGATGAAGTTTGAAACAACATACGACATAAAGTAACTACTCAGTTGATATTAGCAACCATAAACACTTTTTTCCCATAGAGCTTATCAAACAAAGTGACTTCCTAAGTTTTTCTTATAAATGATTGGTGTGTTGTTGCATAACATTATTACTAATGTGTATTTCATTAAATTTACAATATTGGTGTGTTTTTGCATGACTTCTGTTAGTACGGATGTATATTGATGGCCTTGTAACAATGTTATCATCACCTTATAAGTTAGAAAACTGATGGTGAAACACTGCATACTTTGCCTATTGTCACAAAGACAGTAAGACAGAGATGACTAGAAAGCTGAGGTCCCTTTGGCTTTAAAGTTCTGTGTTTTTAAAAACTGAATGTAATAACAGCAGGTTATGAATTTGTTATTTAAATGTCTATTATGTATAAAGCATTCTTGACTAAGGTGTTACTGAAGGTTGGTGTATTACAGAGTTTTCTAGATGTCTCCTGTGTATTGGATGTCTATTATTATGATGAAGGACAATAGCTGGCAAAAAAGGCCACAATATGTCTTTGTTTGGTTTCTGTTTGCTGTGATCAAACACTGACCAAAACAACTTGGGAAGGAAAGGGATTATTTGTCTAACACAATACAACCCATTATCAGGGAAAGCCAAGACAGTAACCCAGAAGCAAGAGATCATTGAAGGAATACTGGCTTGTTTCCTGTTCTCTGTTTGCCTTCTTATACTGTTTAGAACCACCTGACTAGAGCTGACACTGCCCACACTGGGCTGAACCTTCCTATAGGCCAATCTGTTGGAGGAGATTCTTCTGATACATTCTTCCCAGGTGTCTGTAGTTTATGTTAAGTTGGCTAATACTAGCCGGCAAGTACTATGTTCTTTGCCATTCACATGACACTTTCAAAAAGTTGTAGAGATTCAGAGAACAGTGAGTCACCTCTATGAGGTAGGATTCCCAAATTAAAGAAGACACAGGCTATCATTTCCATCCATCAGGTTTGACAGATGGTTTTGAGGATAAGCAGTTAGCAAGGTATGACCTATTCAATGGATGTAATAAAAGCTGACCTCTAGCCCAAATACTAAAAGTGATAAAACAATATATCAAAGATCTCTCAGCAAAGTTGGATCAATAGGACTATGTTGGCTATTTTTATGTCAATTTGACATAAGCTAGAGTATCTTGAGAAAAGGGACTTTCAGTTGAGAAAATGGCTTTATAAAACTGGCCTATAGGTATGTTTACTGGGAGTGTTCTTGATTAATGATTAATGTAGGATAACCCACCCAATGTTAGATAGTGTCAACCCTAGTTAGTTTCCCTGAGTATATAAGAAAGCAGAGTAAGCAGGCTAATAAGAATTTCTTTATGGCTTTTGTTTCATTTCCTCTCTTTGGGTTGCTGACTCAAGTTTCTGCCCTGACTTCCTTCAGTGACAGAATGTGGCCAGAAATTCGTAAGGTGGGTTAAAACCATTCCTCCCCAAGTTTTTTGGGTCAAGGTGTTTTATCACAGCCATAGAAATGCTAAAGAAAGAGAAGTACTAAGGTGTAGGGAGAGAATAAATCTACATGATAGACCAACTAAAAGATCTTGGTGAAATTCTTGCCAGGAGTTGACCCTGAAGACCACAGGTAAAATTCCCTTCTTTTGCAGGGAAATAACAATTCCATCTCTATTCTGTTGCCAAGACTTTTTCGATTGCTTTGATAAGGCCTGCCCAGATAACCTAGAATAATTGACTTTCTACAAAGTATCCATTGATTGTAGGCATTAAGCACTCCTACAAAATAATTCCATCACAGTTTCTAGATTAGAATTTGACTAAATATTGGCACCATTACTTGGTGAATTTGCACATAGGACTGCTGGTCATCAGTCTAGTGACAGACAAAACTAAAACATAGAACTAAGAATGCTTTTGAATGTCAGAATACCCAGTTTAAATCATAAACTAAATGTAGAAGATTTTAACCATCTCTGCCATGACATGAATGCTGATCTTTATCACTAGAATCAAAATGTCATTAGAACTCTTAGGAATTTGTCCATGAGGATTGGTAATAAGTTTACCAAATGGTGGGAAATTCATGTATGATATAAATAAGGTAAACATCAGACAAATACTGGATGCAACATAGGAGCAGTTGGTATATGGAAAACAGGAATATGCCTACTTTCAGATTGGACAAAAGAGAAGATTATCCGTAAGAAGTTTGACGTCAATTCACTTTTGGCTTGTATTGGTTCAAAATTAAGAAGATAAGATTAACAGAACTGTTTAAGAGTAGTAGTTGTCCCCTCTAAAAATATGTGATACAATTTAATTGAGATGTCTTCAAACTTTGATTTTTTTTTTGCTTGAATATTATTGTCCCTTTCATTCCTTTTTAGGAATACATTTTAGTTCCACATTCTTTCATTTTATAGAATATTAATTATAAAATATTGCCTTGATCTTTATATTGAAACCATGTTGAATCTATGGAGGGATATAGAATATTAGGTTTAGTATGTATCAGTCTACATAAGGTTCATTAGTTTTGATATTTTCTTTATGTGTAGTCACATTAGTACTAGTTCCCTGGAAATTTATCATATATTCTTCTGTACTCTGTAACCATGCATTTAATCTACAGATTATAACTGAAGGAGGAGAATGGGTTATGAAATCAATGTACTGGAGATCATTGGCAACCTGCATTTAGAGGCAGAATAAAATATAAAAAGGAAAGAAACTTTCAGAATCTATGTGGCAAATGTGTATTTGCTCTGCAGATTTATGGTCTGCAGTCAAATAATTTATAAGTCATTACTTTTCTATTGTAACTTGTCTTTCAACAGACGAAACAACCATATTTAACTAATTTAAAAGTGAAAAATTGCCTATGTATGCAATTGCCATTGTCAGAGGCAACTTCTGACTCTATAGTCTTAGCTAACCTGAAACTACAGAGATCTGCATGCTGCCTGCCTCTGCTTCCTGGGTATTAAAGATATGTGCTGTTATAAACAGATACTGGTACACTTACAGTAGAAGAGATGGTCAACAAGTTTAATCACATCTCCCATTGAATATAGCCTCTTACCATGACTCTTCACGTATTCATGGAACTACTGAGTGGTGAAAATGTACAAAGTAATGAAGGGAAGCAGTAAGATCTTACAACCTAGTTGTATTGTTTAGTCATTTATTTCTTCCTGGCTCCCTCTCTTCTACCTTCTTTTCTTTTTATTGTTGTTTTATGAAATAAGTTCTCATTCTTACTGTGCTGGACTCAAACTTGTAACCCTTGTTTTAGGCTCTTTAGTGCTTGAGATTACAAATGTTCCTGATTTCTGAGAAAATCTTTTAATTAACTTGACCATACAGAGCCAAAATGTATTCCCTGAACATAGGCCAGATGTGATTGCTACTTGAATCACACTAGAGACTGGAGAATTGCTGCAGAGTCCGAATTTATTTTGAAAATAAGGCTGACATGATCTAAAGATGGATTTTATATTCACCCCCATTGCTATAATTAGAACATTAAAGCAAAAACGTTCAAAGATATTACCCTTAAGAAAGCTACATTTTCATGCTCTCCCACTTCTGACAGGAATGCTAAGATGTCTTTTCTATGAAGGTGAAATACTGACAGATTTTTTATTTTAATCAGTTTGTTATTCTATTCATGTAAGAGTGATTTTCTACATGAGGCCTTGTGACAATTGTTTCATACAGAACATTTATAAAATATTTTATTTTAAAATGTATAACTGCTCTTGAAGGTTGATTTCTTGATCCTTTGATGAAGTATTCAGATTTAG